GAAAGTAGATTCACTTTCTGTCCCAGGGGGAAAAAGGTGATAGTTTCACAAATGCAGTGCTGTGGACAGGTAAGAATTTCCTCCACTGAGAGGTAAAAACAGCCTCAGCACATGCCAAAGTAGAAATAGAAAACATGGGATTATTAAAGACTCACACTGCCAACCTTGTGTACTTGCATGAAAGTAATCAACCTGTGTGAATGGAAATGAAAGAGGAAGAAAATGAATTTTCTTTCCATGTGAAAAACAACTGAGAAGTTTTAAAGTCTTAGGAATTCAGACATCATGCAAATATGGACTAGATAGGTTAGGCATGAATAGAACAACTGTGTATCACTCCTTCTTTTTAAGGAAATGTCAATGTTTTGAAAATAAATATGAATGTTTAGAAGACACAGAATAACAATACTAGTTTGGTTTGTTCCATTTATTCCCATTCTGTCTCTCTTTTTTCTTGCTCTGGTGGTGGTGGTTAATGCACAACTATAAGCAAATTCTGTAGATCATCCTATGGAGACCTTGGTATATTGAATTTATTAGAAGGAAAGAAAAAGGGCCTTCTCAAGTATATCCAGAAACACAACATAAATCCCTTTAAATCTATTTCAGAGTATGGTACAGCATTCAGACAGTTTGAATCTGAAAATCAGAGGGATTGTTTCAGTTTCATAAATATTAGAATTCTGGGAGTTTAGCGTGACCTGTAGAGTATCAGAAATCCTTCTGGTCCCAACTAATGGCTATGTTATTCCCATGAGAGAGAGAAGAGCTCCAACATAAGGAAGACAATTTTGTTGAGTGAATCCCAGGATGGCAGCATATGTCAAGTTAGTATTCTCAAAATATCAGCAAATTACTCTAGAGAATTTGGGGATTTTGTTGTTTGTTTTTTCCCCCATTCTTCAAATATATAACACAAAATACTTCAAAGATGTGGTCATTTTAGACAAAATTGCATTAGAAATGCTGCTGTGTGGCTACTATGCCTTTTCTTCATGGTATGAAATGTGGAAATTTTTTTTCCATTTTGGCAAATTTCTAACGTTCCTTTGTCTCTCTGTTATAATTCCTGCTGCAGGATTTCTCTTTGATAACATATGATCATTATATTTCTTTTTTTCAAAAAAATAAAGTACAGCGTTGTTTGAGTGTGAACAAGGAGGCCAGTTTATTGTGATGGTCATCAGTCTCAATAATTACTAATTAATGCAGCTGAAATACATGACTGTATCTCTTACTCATAATTACCTCAACTATACAAATTATCAAGGTTGCTCGTTTCTGTGTCAGAGAACATTCTGAAAGGAATCTTTTCCACAGGAAAAGAGAATGACAGGTAAAATAAATGAAGTGTGTCTGCTTAGGAACAAGTGTTTTATGCATAATTATTTCATGCCTTGCAAATTAACTACATCATATGTGCCTGGGAATTACAGAAAACTGAAGTAATGTACCTAGGGCATATTGGAATTTACTATTTAATTATATTTCTTGTTGCATTTTGTACTTTTCAAACAGCTTGCAACATGAGAATCCAGAAAAGTGATGCCAGTGCTGGTGTTCTCTGTTACTGCTTTTGGCATATGTGTATTTCCCAGAAATCAAATAAATATTCTGTTTATTTATCCTTTTGCTAGTATCTCTGTAGGTATGCAAACTATGGATAGGGTAATGATTCAGCAACATAGTTAAAATCCCCATGAAGAGGCCAGAAGGGTCTGTTTGGATTCTAACAAAGTGAAATGTTAAAAACAAAGGAATTTCTAAAAAGGTTCCAAAAGACCAGTGTTCTACTTTTTAGTGTTAAAGTGCTAATTATATGTACATTTTTTTATTTTACTCTATGGAACTTTATTTGAAATACTATGGTGGAGCTGCTTGCCACTTGGTACCTTTCAGTAGCCTCCTTCTGTCCAGGCTCCATGGGCTGCTTTGCTTCATCAGCCAGGCTTGGCAAGGTTTTATGCCATGAGCAAGACCTTGCTCCACTCACTCACAATGCTTGGATATCATGAGTTGCTAGAATTACCCCTGGTTTCTCCACTGTTGCTGTTGTTTCCATCACCCTTTAAAGCAAAATGCACCTTAGACACAAAATGGAAACAAACCAGTTCTAGCATCCATCATAGCTATCAATTTCATGAAGAGAAGCTGGTGTGTTTCTAAACAGATGAGGTTACAGAAACAAGAATACAATTTGAAAATAAGATTCTAAAAAGTCTCTGTGTAAGTGCTCACCTTGTCTCAGGTGTAGCAGTGAAATATGTTTTCCTTGTTATCTGTGTAGATAGGAAACTTACAAATATTCATGTTTGAAAATGATGGAAAAGATAATTATTTTTAGACCCAGCACTTGCAAAAATGCTTCTGACAAACAGCTTTCCTGCAAAGGAGTATTATGTTGGTGCTCTTTGTAGCATTTATTGTAAAGGCTGTGTTGATATTTCCATTACAAAACTTTCTTGAGGTTCTTTCAATAAAAATCCACTCCATAATGAAACATGGAACATCTGATCTCATCTCTTGATCAGTGGTTGTTTTTACCAGCTTTCCACAAAATTGACTGAGCTGAGGTTTTTATATTTTACAAAGGTGAAAAAAGGTGTGGAGGGGAGGAGGTGAGGGAGGGGAGCAGTAGGAATGTAGCTGATGGAAACAGTTTGTATTTCAATTGTAGGCTCAAAATGATGTGCTGTTGGTTGGCATCATCTGTAGGCCAGTTGTGCTGTAGTGGAATTCATTTCTGTTCTTCTTAGGGCATGAAATTCTACACTTTGTCCCATCTGTAGGAAAATATTTCAACAGATACATAAATCTTTATTACAAGGCAGTAACAACTGAAAATTGTAACAAATTAAAATACTATGTAAGATGATATAGGGCATTATTTTTTAAAATAATTTCAGATTATGGGGAGGAAAAAAGTCACCACTTCCAAATTATGGAGTGCTGAGAGGCTTTTTGGTTTCAGTCTCTTTATTTGTTTTGTTTTTCCATTTTTTCTCCTGTTGCCAAATTATATAAACAAGTGTGGTGGTGATCAAACAATTTGGAAAAACTTGAATAATTTTTAATTTTATTTTGGGGGGGAAGGTCAGTAATATGAAATAAACTACAATTCTTATGTCTGATCATTTGCATCTGACTAGAATTGACAAGCTGAGAAAGGAATTCTGAGTCCCCATCTACTTGGTCAAAGATAGCAACAGCTTCACTGTTGTGAGGAGTTTTGGCTGATAAAGCCAAAATGATCAGCTTTGCTGCTGTTTGGGGTTGATAGATGCTTGCTTTATTGTGCTTTTTTGCTTTCCTGAGCTTGTTGTTCTCAACTGTTCTGTCAGCTTTGTATTTTGTGGCTTCTGGTTCACTTGCTTGTTTCCTTTAAGGTTACTTCTCTTTTCATCATTATCTAGACTTGATATTATTAAACTAAATAATTGTGGGTTTGTTTTTTTTCTTGTGGTGGACAGATGACATCTCAGTTCTGTCTGAAATGTGTCCATTACACACAGGCTCAGTCCTTTTGATGTGCCTTGAAGAAGTTCATGGCATGCCTTTATGTTAGGCATGATTAAGCTGCCACCTTTCAGCCCTCAAACTCTGCAGAAGAAGCTGAGCTTCAGCTGGCCTACCCTGAAATAATCAGCAAATTCAGCTGAAATTTTCTGGTGAGAACAAACCTAAATGGCAGCCTTAGAAGAAGACAAATTAATGTGATGCTTTTGCTGAATCTTCACTGTATCTTCTTATTTTGGTGTAAATCTACCTGGATCAACTTGGACAGCAATTGGACAGAAACATCTAGGTTTAGTAGCAAAAGAACCACAGTAAAACTCTTTATTTTTATCATTGGAAGAGTAATACTAGACAAATCTAAGAGTCTTTGGAGACTTTGGAAAGAGGTGAGAGGGAACAACATTAGGAACTTCAACAACTTTGCTCTTCTCACAAATGCACGTGTAACTGTCTCGATAAATATCATAGTCCCATTTTACTTTTGACTTTCAGAGGTTTGCTGTAAAAATAGACTCACTGATGTTTCACACACTATCAGGCAAGACATTTCAATCTAGAGGTATACAGCTAAACTTCCTGAGTTACATATGCTTTTTTATTGTTTGCTTAGGAGAATTACAGTGTTTGCTCATTTATGATATTAGTATTTCTATGCTGTGGAATGGCTTGGATAATATATGCAGATTCCTGAAGCAACTTTGCTGCAGAAAAATAAAATGTTTGGGAATGTTTTGCCAGTTTTTTCAATAGAAAATGGGGGTCAATTTAAGTACAGGTTATAAAATACTTTCAATTTTAAAGCATTAAGTAAGGTGACATTTTGAATTTAAGTGAATCTACATGCTCCTTCTTCCTCATTGCTTCTATGCAAACAGAAGCAATCATATTTGTATTTGTAATCAGAAATGGAAAGCCACTATACTCAATTACCTCAAATTGTTAAGTGTACTATATATGCATGTATAAATGGAACTTTCAGTCTATTAGTAATAAGAAATAATTATTTACAAAATTTGAGAAATCTGATATTCCAGTTCAATATTAGTAGTAATGGACACGGGAAAAATCTGTAGGCAAACTATGCAGGGCCAGATACAGGATTCTCAACATCTCTAAATATGTGAAAAACAAGATGGTTTTGGGAAGGATTTATTTTAGGCACTGAAAAAAGCTGTGAGGGGGCAGAAATCAAAGTCATTTTTGGGATTTTTAGAGGAAGGCCAGTGTTAATTCAAGTCCTGTAGTTTCTAGGTTTATATATGTTAAAAATCACTCAATAAACCCCTTAAAATCTTACTCAACTCTTCCATTTTTTGCCACATAGAAAAAAAAATTGCTCTGCATGGACAACTGTGTCCACACCCCTGTGTTCTATGGCCTGGTTTCTCTAGGAATCTTCATGGAGCCTCTTGTACAACACCCCACGCTTTGTTCACGTGCTGAATCCAACAGTAATGTCGATTTTTTTTGTTGTTGTTTTTCAGCCCTGAGGGACAACAGAATCGAGCTGGTGCGAGCGTCGTGGCACGAGCTGAGCATCAGCGTCAGCGACGTGTCCCTGTCGGACGAAGGGCAGTACACCTGCTCTTTGTTCACCATGCCTGTCAAAACCTCCAAGGCTTTCCTCACCGTCCTCGGTAAGCACAAACTGAGCTGAGCAGAAAGAACCAAGTGTTCGACTCCTCGGGCTCTGGCAAATTATGATAAGAATGAACTTTTCTAAGGCTTGGCAGAAGATAAATGTAAACGTCTGATCTAGTTTCCCCTGATGTTTATTGTCTCATATCGCTGGGCTGAAAAAGAACATGCCTCTTACTGTTTGCACCGTGGCAGGATAATGAGTTAGGGAGCACGCCAACGCCACGGAGCGAGTGCTCCATGAAATGGACAAAACCTCTACATCCCGAGCACCACGGGTGCAGGGAAGGTGCATGTGTTCATCTCCTGACAATCTATTGGATAGGGCAAAGGGGAGAAAATCAGAAAGCATGAAATCAAAACGGGCTTTAGAGCTTTATCATTTTTCCTTAGCTGTGCATTTTTTTGACTCATTCTGCTTTCTTTTTTTTTTTTTTTTTTGTCTTTAAAGTGCAAATTTTCACTGGGCTTGCGCTTCTTTTATGCTTTATCCTCTAAGTGCTCTGCTGTTTTCCCCAAAGGTTATAGATACACATAGAAAAGCAATAGATTTCAAGAGATGCCCAGGAAATAAAGTTTCTGCTTGAAGCTTTATATGATTCTATGAATGTCAGTAGCCCAATCAGCCAAAGTTGCTATAGTTCACTAAAACACACCTGCAAACCTAAAAGGCTATATGATTTTATAGATTGATTTTTATTCTTTTTTTTTTCCTTTTTTCTGTCCCTGAACATGACTCTCTTCCTTTTTGTTTTATTTTTATATGTGGATGGGCAGACAGTTAAATTTAATAGAACTAATGTAAGATATTCTCTATGGCAGTAATATTCACATTAGTCCAGCCAGGGAATTGGTTTTGTACTTAGGATATGAAATACATCTCCCTTTCAGTCCCTGTGAGACAATTTTACAAAAATCTTCACAACTTTGCCATTAAGGACAAAAAGTACCCACTCAAAGCAAAATATTCTGGAATAGCAACTGCCTATGCTTACTCTTCCCTCTGTATAGAGGCATTTCATGATCTAAACAATTGAGGAGTGCACCAGTTCATCCTTTTAAATGGCATAAAGACATAGAAAGGTGTTAAAAAGACAAGAAAACCCCCAAAATATCTAGCCAATATTTATTAACAAAAGTAGCTTGATCTTTAACAGTCCTTTAAGCTTTACCTTCATTTTAGGGAAGGGTTCAATGAAGGTTTCCCAACATCATTTATTATCCTTCCCGGAGAGAAAGCTGCACAGTTCAGAATTCCTGCCTTTTTTCATTTTGTATTTGTAATTTCCTGTTTCAAAGGAATATTTTAAACTCTTAAGACATTTGCTGCTGGAGAAGGGAATCTTTGCCACTGAAATGTATTATATCTTTTAATCAGATAAACTATCCTTTTATATACTAATAATCTCTTTATTGTCTGTTCTGCTTTTGATTAGAAAATTTAAGTGTCAAGGTATTGTAGTAGACACCATTTTCTGTCCTGAAAGAGAGGACTAGATTTATTAAAGAGATGTACTATGCAAGAGGTGATGCTGTTTTGCTGTTCTGTACATGGAAAAAAGATGTAGAAAAAACTGAATTGTTAAATATAGAGCACTAGATCAATTAGTGTGACCAAGTCTTTTATCTTGCCACAAATGTGAATGCACCAAATCACTGTAGCTGCAAGATATAACTGACATTTTTGGAGCTTTTTAAATTACTGTCATCAGTATTACTTTAAAATAAGTTATTCTAGTGTCTTCATAAGTTAAATGGATTTATGTATGCAGTGATCAAAACTTTCCCAAATTTCTTTGTGTTTTGTTTTTTGTTCTTGTTTTATTTTGGTTTTTTTTCAATCTTCTGTGGTTCGCTGAAAAACAACCATTTCCAAATTGGATATTTATGTGTCTGGTATGTCCAAATGATATGATCTCCTCTGAAGAACTTGTATACAGCTGAAGAACTCACTGTAGTCAGTGGAGCTGTTATTATACCTCTTTGCATTTTGGTTTTGTTCCTCTGCAGATAAAGTGACTCCAGTATTATTTTTACTCTCCCTTTTCCCTATTTTTTTTATTAAAGTCTTCATTATTTAGGTGTAAATATCTATTCTCAGCTTAGGTCAGTTCAGTTTTTTGTTGCCAGTTTAGTGTTTAATTTTCACAGCAGTGCTTCTAATGTGCTTTGTCATCCTGCTTGCTGTGCTGAGCAGTTTAAATATTGTAACAAATCAGACTAGACCTGCATGCAGAATATACAGAGATAAGATATTTATTAAATTGCAATCTGTTTCTCTTAGAAAATTAGATAATTCCTGCTTTCTTTATTTATTTAGAATCAACTACCATTCAGATTGATGGATAATTTACAATAGGAAAAAGGTTTAACTGACAAGGCACGAGGAATTAATTATCCTGTTTCCAGAAATCAGAGCATATGAAGAAGTGAACTTTAAGTTGGTCGTGCATTCATGGCAGCAGCTGACACCATCTGAGACATTTTGCTTGTTTGCTTGTTAGGTGTTCCTGAGAAGCCACAAATTACTGGATTTACCTCGCCAGTTATGGAGGGAGAGAGGATGCAGCTCACATGCAAGACATCTGGTAGTAAGCCAGCAGCTGATATCAGATGGTTCAAGAACGACAAAGAAGTTAAAGGTATTTAAAAGGATTTTGGTGTCATTTGGTCCAATTGCCAAAACTATACATTCTGTAGAATTATGGGGTTTTTTAATCAGTTTTTAAATTTGCTCCTATTGCATCATGAAATGAGTAGGGGGCAGTACACAGATTGAAGAATTGATTGTAATTTACTACAGTGGTCATATAACCATCTTTTTATTGTTTTTTTTTTTTTTTCAAATAGTAAGAACTGATGTTTTAGATTGCTCAGAACTCTGTGCCTCATCTGTGAGGCTTCATAGAGAAATGTTTTCTGGATTATTATCACAGTCAGACCACTCATCCCTGATATTTTCCCTTTTCATTTCTCTTGTGCCATTCCAGCATGGGGTATGTCTGATTTAGTTAATTCCCAGATTTAAGTTGCACACCCCTAAAAAATGTGAGCAGGTGAGGCAGAATAGCAGAATGTGACCACGAGGAGACAGGAGAATGCACTTCCCACAGGAGACCCAGGGAGCCTCTGGTGAGGGAGAGCCAGGATGCAGCAAATGAGGGAATCTCAGCTGGGAAACTCGGAATCTCCAGCTGAGGCAAGGATGCTGTGAGGAGGAGGGAGAAGATAGATTTCAAAGGGGATCAGGAAAACTTCACAGGGGCTAAGGGGAGTTGGACAAAGTCTGCTGTGACTGAAAAGTCATTGAATGACTGAAACCAAAGCTGACAGCAAGGATTTGCCTTCAAGGATGCAGCGAGCTAGGAAAGAGCTGCATATAAAAAGCTGTTTATTTCCTTTCCATCTTCTCTTTCACTTGGTATGTTCTTTGCTTAGAACCTAGTTTTCTGCTCCATATTCTTAAAAATGCTGGAATAGTTTTAAATCCTCATTGGTGAGTTAAGAGAACTTCCTGATGCTGTCACACCTCCAAGCCAGTTGAGATGCCCATTAGAAAGCAGATGGATAAAAAGGATAATGTATTGGTATTTATTCACGTCACCTCTATTCATTCTGCTATAAGGCCAGATGAATAAAAGATTCAGAATCCACCTTTCCTGTGCAGCTTTAAAAAAAAAACAACAAACAAACAAACAAAAAACCACCCTTCATTTATCTGATTTGTCTAATATTTTGGATTTCATTATCCCAATAAACTGCCTCAAGCAAAGTTACAGAGTTAATTACAGAACCATTTATCTTTCTTGACTATTCTCTACCACAGTTTAATGTGCAAAAGCAGAGCTGTGATATAAAATTGGTGAATAAAGGAAAATGCAGATGATTGCCTATGGAATCGTGTCTATTATAGAGGTGCTCTATTTCTAATGAAAATGAGAGTAGTATTGAAAGCATTTTAGACTGGAATAATTTGAAATGTGTAACAAGGATAGAAAATGAGTATATAGAGAATAATTCTTTTCAGTACTGGGAAATCTGAGGAAATTGGTGAAAGAAAGGCAGCATCTAATCAAATGTAAGTTAAAAGAATTAAACAGCACAACTAACACACATGGCACAGCATAGATTGTGTTCTCCAGAAAAGATGGCATGATGAATATACATAGTCAAGGCATGTTAAGATTGGAAATAACTCCAAGAGTCAATAATATAAGAGAAACACTGATACAGTTGGCCTAACAGAAAGGCTACACCTATTTGAAAATATGTTATTTTAAAAATTATGTTGTAAAATCTGGTGTAATACCTTTGCCTTTCCTTCAGCTGACAAGTATTTGAAGCCAGTAAGCAATTTGCTGATTTGACTTATTAATCAATTTATTTTTCTCAAGAGTTCCTAAAGGTATTTAAAAACAAACAAACAAACAAAATCAAAAAAAACCACGATGGGAAATAAAGGAGTATAAAAGGAGTATGAAGAAAAAAAAAAAAAAAAGGGGGAAAAAACCCCTGACAACCAGAAATAAGAGGAAAGTACTGAGCACATTCATTTCAGTTCAGGTTTCTAGGTCTTCTGAAGAGCACATTGCCATTTCTCAAAGGTTAGAAATAAAATAACCTAACCAGTCTGCAGTGGCATCAGCAGAAGTTACATTAGCTTTGTGCAGTGTAAAAGGTGAAATGATAAATCTGAGAAAATAGATATGAAATGATATGCTAATGCAGCTGACATTAAAGGTTAGAAGTTCGTCTGTCTAGCACCAGTAAATCCAATTGTGTTCCACTGTATTATACATGCTGCAAACGAATATAAATGATGCACTGAGATCAGAGTTGCACCAAAGGGGAAAAAGCCACTGTAAAATTGCAGCTCCATTGCTATCACTCAAAAAAGAAATCATCATCTGATAAAGGAATAGTGTTTGATAAAGTAAGTGTTAGTAATGAGAAAGACTGAATGTGAAGCACTGGGTGCCACACCTTTTAGTTTACTGTTCTGTCACTCATATATGCACCAACTTAACAAAGGGATCTGCAGTTTAGAGTTCTGGTGACATTTCTGGGAGGTTATTAAGAGCAAAAATACTGGATAAGATAAATGCAAATTTTTGATTTTGAAATTACCTATTATTTTCAACAAAATTTGTTACATGCTCATTCAACAAAATTATATAAATAATTTTTTTTTTAGGCTTCAGGAATATTTTGAATGGATTTCCTTTTTTGTTTCTTTTCCTAGGCAGATTGGATTTTAAAACTAAATAAGCTCATTTTGTTGCAACAAGTTAAGATACTTTGAGTAAGTTTCTTTAATTTTAGTAAAGACAAAGATTTCAGAGTGGCACTGATCATTGTCTTGAGAAACCTCTAAAGCAAATATGATTTTTTATTTTTAGATAATAAGGCCATTTCATGTCAGAACTTAAGTTTAAATATAAACAAAAATTATATCTGCCATATAAAACCAGAAAAACTGTCTTTTTAAGAGATGAGTATTTCTGTGTGTTACAGGTATATGCTTTTATAAATAGCTTGCAATGAGCAATGGATGATGGACATTCCATTGTTTCCATTTATTATTTTCCCTATCAAACATCTATACTTATGAGATATAACCCTGCACCTGTCTGAAAGTCATGGAAGTGGGTCCAAAGCTGATTCCCAGGTTTTATTTGGCCCAACATCTATTCCAAGGTTAACTCAAGTGTCTAAAGGTCTTCTCCAAATCAGGTTTGAAAAGTCTCCCAGGACAGACATTCCATAGAAACATTTCTGTCTGGGCTAGATTTTTCAGCGTTCTGAAGCCCTCTTGTGGAGTGTTTTCATTATTTGTAGATATTTAATGATACATAATCAAAATTTATCTAAGTGTAACTTACGTTTGTTGCCCATTAGCTTTTGTTGTACACCTCTGAGGGGATTCTGGCTTTTTTTCTCTATGGCCATAGTTTATGTACTTTAAAGCAGCAGTTTAATCTGGTTTTAGTCTTCTCTTCCTCAAGTTAGATAATACCAACTTTCTTAAGATGTCTTTGTACGGATCCACTGACCACAGCATTTCTCAACAGGTTCCTTGTGCATTTTTTCTTCAGAAAGCCCAAAACTGGGCCTGGTACTCTCAGTGTAGTCATGCATGTGCCAAAGAGAGAAGGATCACTTCCCCTGACCCTGGCTGTGCTTTTACTGATGCAAGGCACTGGATTTTAGCCTTCAGCCCTGCGCACTGACTGATGTTCAACATGTCCTACCAGCCCTAAGTTCTCCTCCATAAAGCTGTATCCCTTCAGCCTGTTCCATTACAGTGCTTCCCACACAAAACTCTTGTGTCATGGGTTTCTTTTCAACCTTTTCTTCAAAGGAATTTAGGAGAGACAGGGGCAGCAAGAAAACAAATTAAACAGTAGGCTACAAGTTACATATTTAAAAATTCTGTAAAATGTCCTGGGTGATGGTGTGTACCCATTACCTGATCTCCACCATTTTTACATCCAGTTGGGTTTGCACTCAATTAGAACATACCACAATCACACCTTCATTTGCCATGAAGAAATGTCTAAGAAAATACAGCTGATGAGGACAAGCTAAAAATTTCTGTTGGTGAGGATGACAACAGTTTGTAGAATCTTATCACTGCCCTTTTTGCAGAGGAAGTTCATTCTAAGAGTTGAACCCTTTCACACAATAGATAGCTAGAGAGAAACTTGTAAACATCAATTTAGGAAATTAACTGCTTTTGTTTTTCTAAAGGATTAAGAATCCACAACATCTCAATAAAATTAAAGTTGTTGATGTTTCAGGAGTCTTCTGTCCCCCACTTGAAGTCAGTAAGCAAAGGGATGTGCACATTACTTATAAGCAGAATGTTACCTATATAGGTGCTTATTATTAAATTTGGAAACCTAACTCTGTGAACAAAATCACATGTGTTTGCTTTAAATATTAGTGAAGACATTTGTTGTTTGATTATAATAACTTTGCTTTAGCTCTGGTCAATATTTCTCTTACCTACTAATCCCTAAATATTAATAGTGACCATGGCAGAAATTGAAATCTTTTAAAGCGTAGCAGCAAACAGGCAGAAAAATTCTCATGTGCAAGAAATAATTATATTTTAGGGAAAAATGGAAACTCTATAACTACACGGTGTCCTTCTCTGTCTGGAGACAATGATAAAGACCACCTCTCTGATGTCAGAGGTATTTTTAATCTAAAACTATGTAGCCTAAGCCATTGAAGATTTGCTTTCTAAAATTGATATTTCATGGAAATTTTATTTAGGTCATTCTGTTCTCTAATGGGATTTAGTATAATTTGTAAAACTGAAACCTCTCTCTTTTTTAGGGCACAGAGGACATACGAAATCTCAGTGTAATTTAATATATATGTTTAAGTATTTATAGATGTCTTTTCAAGCTTTCACTGTAATAAATCAATATAACAAGCTTACCATTTTTCTCAAATAAACTAAAATCAATAAGTATCGCAGGCAGTTGGAAACAAGTAAAACAATTCTAAAGCATGTGTAAGAAAATCTCATATTCTAGTTAATACATTCAGACATTTTAACTCAAATGCTCAATCTTTTGGATCTTCATTTCTGATCTAGCACATATTTCTTACAACAAAATGTTCTGAATGTGAATCTTAGCCTTGAACTGAGACGATGCTTCCTAAGCAAAGCTGAAAACTCCCTCCACTGCAATGTCTGTCTAAAACCTCAGATTTTTAACTGGATCTACACAAAAGTATCAAGTCAATTTAGAAGGGTATAAAGCAGTGAGTGGAAGTTCTCTGCAGTAAACTTATTTCTGGTCTTGGGACTCATTTGTATATTCAGGTAAATACTGTGACATACTCTATTTACAATTGTTTATTACCACTGGTGACTACACCTGGGTTTAGTTTAATTAGTGAATTAGCATAATTCTAACCAAACAACAGAATAAGCAATGAATAAAGTAAGCACAGGATTAATCTGACTATGTGCACATGGTTTCAGTAATATCTATGTTTTGCATTACTGTGAGAGGCTGTAAGAATGATCTTGGGAAATTTCATGTTTAGTGACACTGTGGATACGTAAAGTAATGAGGATGGGACAAGACCATAATCTTTTTCAGATGACCTAACAGAGAACATTTATATCAAATATGGACCTAAACATTCAAGAGGTAATAAAGAATGGAATTTCTGTTTGAATGCAGAATCATGGAACCAGTTTCAAAATTTTCTCTTTCAATATGTATCTTGTACTCTGACAATGAGAGCAAATTGAGGAATAACTACAGTCTAATTACTTTTATATTAAAGAGACGACCAACACATATATGAAAGATGTGTTTTTTCTGAAAACTGTGACAGAAAATTTAGCTGTCTAATGCTGGTCTACTTTTTTTTCCACAAAATATTGGAAAGATAACTAACTGTTTATCCTTTCTTTCAGATGTTAAATATTTAAAAGAAGAAGATGCAGTTCGTAAAACATTCACAGTCAGCAGCACGCTGGATTTCCTAGCAGATCGCAGTGATGATGGTGCAGTTGTAAGTTGCAGAGTAGATCATGAGTCCCTAAACTCTACACCTCAGATAGCAATGCAGGTTCTAGAAATACACTGTAAGTAATACACATTATACATGCTTGCTTTTATAGTTTTGTTTTGTTTCAGAGTGTCTGTTGAAGCAAAGTTCTCTGGTATTGTGCAGATAGATAAAACCTTTCTTTTAGCCAAATCCTATGTTTGTATTTGGTTGGATGGGTTGTTTTTTTTATTTTATTTTTACAGGAGGGACTCAAAAAAGTTTAATGACAGCTTTACCATTGAGAGCACTATGGGACTAAGTTCTTGGTTTTCTTTGACAAGTTGTGGAAAGAAAATACATTTATCTTTTTTGGTTATTATTGAAACAATGTATATGTGTTATTAAACATCAAGAGCATCCTAATTCACAGTTTTCCTTGAAAGTTTCCAGAAACTTGAAACAAGGGTATAAATAAGCAAAGTTTGCAGCAGATTGCCTCGATGATGCTGAAGCCTGCTAAAGAAACTCACTGATGTTAATAGCACAGACTCAGGAAGAAAAGATCTTTAAGATTTATCTTTAGGCCTGACCCAGAAATTATTAATCTAGTTAATCCAAACTTCAGTTGTATTGCATCTTTATATATTGGCTGGTTTTTTGCTTTCAAACAGCATTTCTGGACGTGATGTTTTCCACAGTGCAATGTTCCAAAGTTGAATGAATCTGGTTGTCTATCTGTGTGCTGTAGTCTGAAGTCAGCTGTCCTTTGAGTCAGTGGGTTTTTGTCACTTATAAACTGTGAGAGATGCCATCAGCTGACATTTTCATATTCACTTGTATC